TCCCCACTGCAGAGTCCCCAACATGTAAAGCAATGTTTGGTTTATAGTAGGTGCTTAATAAATATTTGATTACATAAGCAAGTGGAAGATCAGATACACACCATCTAATAGGATTCTAACTACTTTCTCTACCTTTGGAGGGGCTGAATAGGGGTGGGGGGAACTCAGGCCTCTTTAGATCTAATGCTCCTGAGCCCCTGGGGGCCTCGCATCTAGTGACAGGACACCAGGACGGGCCGCCCGGCCTCTGGGTGTGTTTCCCCTTCCTTCCTCCCTAGACATCCCTCTGGGTCAGCCCACCCGCAGCAAAGTCCTTCCCTCTAAGGAAACAAGGACCACTCCCTGCGCTCGCTCTCCCTGGTCCCCAGCTCTGCGCGCTAGGTCCAGACAGTGCAAAGCCTCCCTCTGCTCCTGGAAGAACGTAAGCCGGTGCTCACGGCCCCCCTGAGCTTGCCTTAACAGGAAGCATGTCCCACAGCCAAGATGTTTGGGTCAGAGAGCTCTCAGTCACAAGCTCCGGCTCTCTGAGACCCATGCACACAGCCCAGCAGAGCCACACACCCGGCTTTTATGTGGAATTCCCTGAGGCTTTAATGTTTGCAACAAATTATCATTTATTTTATTTATTTTTGAGAGGGGGAGCAGGCACGTGTGCAAGCAGGGGAGGGGCAGAGAGAGAGGAAGAGAGAAAACCCAAAGCGGGCTCCACGCTGTCAGCCTGGAGCCAGATGCGGGGCTCGATCCCACAAATCATGAGATCGTGACCTGAGTCGAAATCCAATCGACTGAGCCACCCAGGCGCCCCTATCATTTTTTTTTTTTAACAGTGTGCAAGTGTGCAACTGGCCAAACAGGACCTCTCTGATGGCCTGCGGCCGCCATTTGCAACACTCAGGGCTGGATCTGAAAGGGCTAAGGAGAGAGAAAGGCATTGCACGCAGAGGAATGACGATTGGCGGGGGCGAGGGCTTAGAGGCTGGGAACAGATCCAGTTGTGTCCAGGACAGCGGGATAGAAATGAAGCTTGGGACAAAGATCCTTCCAATATCCAATGATCGCGAACAGCCATTGCAGCGAATAATTCCTGTACAACCCAAGTTTCCTGTGCTCTGCACTTGGCTTTCTCCTATTACGTGGCTAATAGAACACACACATTCCGATTCCAGTAGAAGAATTTGCACAAGTGCCCGAGGCTTTTTCCAGTGAGGGCACAATCACTCTACCGTACAATTTACAGAGAGGGCTTTTGCACACGTTCTTCTGTGCGTGGCTCACCACAGTCTAGGAGTCCCTGTGCTCCCATTTGATTGATGAGGAAACTGAGTCCCTTAGAGAGGAGATGACTGGCCCAAGTTCGTCCACAAGCCTGACTCCTCACTCAGTGCTCTGTCCTCTGCCTCTTGTGCAAAAAAGAAATTCACCTTGGAAACCCACAACCCCACACGGCTGCTGACATCACTTCCCAGACACTGTGTCTCTGAATTTTCAAGGCAATATTTGACACAGGATGTTCATTTTTAATATGCTAAATGGGGAGATGCTCCTCAGTCTAAGGGGACTCTCCGACGCCATTCCTCTGTCACATCACCTTCTGTTGTTTCTGCTCCCCAAAGTAGGCATGTGCGTTTTCAGCCAGAAGGCAGGGAAACTCTGAGACTCCACTCCTGGGAAACACGATAGGTGGATGGGACAGTGGGACGCCCCACCTGTATGTCCTCAAAACCACCGTCTTTGGATGCAAGGTATCAGAGCTACCAGCCCCTGTCCTCAGGCCGGCCAATCCTTCATGTGCCACGTGGGGAAACTGAGGCCCAGGGAGGCTAAGTGGCTTGTCGGCACTCACGTAGCCCTTCTGCTGTTCCTATCCTCACATTGACCCCCCCCCCCCCCCATCTTACTGAAACCCCACCTGTCCAAAGTCTTCCTCCTCCGGGAGGTCGTGGTTATCATGCACACCGCCTGAGACTGGGCGATACGAAGACAATACGGGCACCCGGTGCCAGGCACGGCGCTGTGCCCCTTACACGAGACAACCTGCCAAAGCCTCACCCACCCCCGTGAAGTAGGCCCTGCTGGGATACGCGCATTTTATAGATGGGGAAACTGAGGCACTGAGCGGTGAAGCCTCTTGCCCAAAGTCACTCAGAGCTGGGATTTGAACCCATAACATGTGAATTCAAATGCACCTGAGTTCTTGGGGCTTGGTGTCCCCATCTCCAGCTCAGCCCACCTTCTTCCCCTAAGAGGAGGAGGGTGAGCGTGACGTCATGGCCACCATCTGTCATCTCAGTCACCCCTGTGAGCACCTCAGCACCCGAGGTTCCCATCCTGGGTTTATATACTGGGGTGCTTCTTGTGGGAACTGTCTAGGGATTTCTGGCCTACAAAACCCACAAGTATTTTCATTCTATGAGCTGTTATTTCTGAAACACAGAGGGGATCTCAGACCCCACAGGGAGCAGCGCGGGGCAGGGTATAGTGCCAGGGAGGGCCAGGAAAGATGAGGAAGAGACAGGCTGTTCTACTCTGCCCCCCCCCCCCCCCCCCCCCCCCCCCCCCCCCCCCCGCCAATCCACAGCGTTGAGGGTCTCACACCAGCAACGCCAGGGCTGAGTCTGGCTCACAGATTGTTGTATTTGGCCCTGGGCTACTTTTAATGGGGAGATTTTACGTCAAATTCCAGGTGTCGAGCTTCTCTTGGAAGACTGACAGACCCGCCACATGGGTCCCCATTCTCCCACAAGAGCTAAGACGTAATTGCCCGCTTTAGAAGGGCCGAGATTCTTCGAGCTGCCCCAGTCCCCACTACCCCCTGTTGCCTCCCACCCACCTACTTCACGAAAGCTGCTCAGCTCCGTGGCTGTGCAGATTTGCACCCCCCCCACCCCGCCCTGTGCTGTGTCCCGGGACCCAAGATCTCAAAGCCAGGCCTGTGAATCCCCGAGGACAGCACCCCTGAGCCGGGACCAGACTCGCAGGACTGGAGGATACCCCCATTTTCAACTGGTCACGCTCCAGAGCGTTTGAATCACAGCCCCTCAGAAGCTTCAAAGACTCCCCTCTCTCTGAATCAGGCAGGACGGGCCTCGGAGATAGGCTGGCCCCAGCTTTGCTAAGCTCCTTCGTGGTGAGCCCTTCTTTATACCAAACCTCTGAAGAGCCCCCCAGATGCGAATAGACCCCAGCAGGACCCCTTGAGGACCTGCAGACCTTGGAGCCCCTGGGATCCTCAGGACACGCCCATCCTACTGAAGCGCCATCATCAAGACTGAGGCTCAGAGAAAGGAGCTGGCTGGTCAGAGCCCAGCAAACCCCCGTAACGGGCCGGTGTTGACCGTTTCCTCAGACGCCCGCCACTATGCCCCGTTCTCCTCTCTTCCCTTTATCAAAACCCACTTCCAGGAAAAAGCCTGAAACTCATTCACACCTTGGTGTCCAGAACCGGTGATGGCTTCCCTCTCCCAGGGAGTCTAAAGGAACTGGAGTTTTTATTTAAAGGAACGAGGCCCAAGGGGAATGATTTCCAATGCGGACTCTGGGTAGGACTGGACAATTCCTGTCCACACCTTGGGGCGAATGAGTTTGGAGGGGACTTGCAGACCCGCACGCGGAGCGGGGAGGAGGGACGTGGAAGGCACACCTGCCCACACTCGCGGCAGGCGGTACACACCAGCCACGCCGGCAGAGGCCCGGCCTGATTTGGCTGGGAGGGGGCCGAGTAGTGAAACCGTGGCTGCAGACATAGCTTCGGGGGTCCAATCAAGGGGCCGGAGAGCCGGGATTCTGGAGGTTGTGGGGGCCTCCAAAGATCGCAGAGCAGGGAGTAAGGGGGGGCTTGAGGAGGCAGGGAGAATTGTCTGGAAGCGAAGAAGCAGTGGGTTGGATGCGGGCCGCTGTGTCCCGGCCCTGGATGAGGACGGCACTTCTCCCCCCGGCCCATGAGTCAGCCCGTGACCAGTAGCCTCGACTGAGCGTCTGCCACCCTCCAGGCACCACTTGAGCAGAGGCCACGTGTGTCCACTGGGAAGTCAGCTCCTCCGGAAGGGCGCTCTGTCTGCCTCCCTCACCGCTCCGTCTGGGTGTCTGGACCAGTCCTGGGCACATAGTAGGTGCTCAACAAACACTGCCCTCATGAATTGTGTCATGAGAGGCTCACAGCCACTCACGGGCTACGTCCAGTCGCCATCCCCATCACAGAGGAGGACGCGAGGCTCAGAGCTGGAGGCACAGGCTGGGGTTCAAACCCAGGCGGGGGTTTCCACGGCTGTGCTCGGCGAGGCGGGCAGGAGGAAACGCAAGGCAGGAACGCGGCGTGGCGTGAGGTGGCCTGGGGGTGTGTGCGCGCTTCCTGTGGCCGCCAGAACGAACGACCACGGACTGGGCGGCTTTGGGCAAGAGCAGTTTATTGTCTCCCAGTTCTGGAGGCCAGAAGTCTGGAGATGAGGTGTCGGCAGGGCCCCCCGACCTCCCGAGGGCTGGGGGACATTCCCCTCCTTGCTTCTTCGGGCTTCTTCGTGGCTCCGGCGTTCCTTAGCTGGTGGCTGCGTCCTGCCATCCTTGAATCTGTCTTCACACAGCCTGTGTCCTCTGGGCCTGTGCCTTCTCCCTCTGTCTCGTATAGGGACACTTGTCACTGGGTTTAGGCCCATCTTGATTGCCTCTCAGGAGCCTTGACTATATCAGCAGAGACCATTTTCCTTCTTTCCAAGTAAGGTCGTCTTCAGAGTTTCCACGGGTTAGGATGTGGACATATCATTTTGGGGGGGCCACTCTTCACCCCGATACGTGGCGTCTCTGGCATCTCGCAGGAGCCCAGTCTGGGCCTGAAGCGAGTGTCGGGCGCCCAGCCGGTGCTGCGAGTTTCCTGCTTTGTCCCCCCCCCCCCCCCGCCGCCCGCCCCTCTGTCTCTGTGCTTCCTCACGGGGCCAGCCCCATTCGGGACAATTCCCGGGAAGCTGAGTGTCTCTCCCCCGGCCAACCTTCCTGCACTCTGTCCGCAGGTTTGCCGGGCACCGCTCCGGATCTGGAAAAGAGAAAGCAGATTTTTGGGCAAAACTTCATACCTCCAAAGAAGCCAAAAACCTTCCTGCAGCTGGTGTGGGAGGCACTGCAAGATGTGACGCTGATCATCCTGGAAATCGCGGCCATCATCTCCCTGGGGCTGTCCTTTTACCACCCGCCTGGAGAGAACAATGAAGGTAAGACCCCAGCGCCCACCCTGCGCCCCGCGTGCCCAGCCACAGCTCCGTGCAGGGGAGGAAACCGAGGCCCAGGGGACAGGGCCCCGCTCACAGCCCCCGGTCTCCGGTTTCCCTTGTGCGAGATGCAAGGATTGCGCCGACGGGGGAAGGAGCTACAGTGAGCATTTATTGAGCACTTACAGTGTGCCGAGCTCTGAGCTGAGATGCCATCCTCCTAAATCCCCATGAGGTACGGGCCATGATCATGTCCATTTTAAAGATGAGGGAGACAAGGAACAGAAATGTGCATGAACTCACTCGAGGTCACCGAGCGGGTGCTGGACCGGCTGCCACCATGGGTTTCCTTCTTAGATCTCACCCTTCCTGCCTTGCGTGAGCCTCCGTGTCCATGCGGCTCCTCCTCTTCCACGTTCCCGGACGTGGTTCAGCATCATGCACACGCTTGTGGGGCTGACGCCAAACATGTGTTGCCACGTGAGGACTCCCAGTCCTGAGAGGGCCTCCCAAAATCTGTCCCTGAGCTCTGAATGGGGACGCTGCTCAATGGACGGAGGAAGCACTACCCGCTCATCCAGGGAAGGTTCTGGAGCAGACCCACTCTGGTCAAAGTCAGAACTTAGGACTCCTAATGGAGAACCTCAGCCTTCCCTCATCTTTTCATTCCAGAAAACAAGCACCTGCTTAGGGCTCGTGCTTTATCAACTTTATGAGGCTCGTGCTTTCCTTTATGAGGACAAAGTCTTTCAAACCTATGTCACATTAAAGATAGAAAGATGGATGGATGGATGGATGGATGGACGGACGGATGGACGGACAGACGGATAAACACGCACATAGGGCCTCATTCTCCCAGATGAGTAGGTGGTCTCTGAAATTCCTTGACCGTGTGTTCCCTCACCCAATCCCAAGCCACAGTTGCCCAAGAAACGAGATGACCGAGTCTATTAGGTCAATGACCTCCATTGTATGCATGATATTACTAAGTTGCTTTTTATCCCGTGTTGCTCTTTCTAGAGAGGGTTGAAGGACACATCCCACAAGATGAAGTTGAATAGAAAGACAGGAAAGGGATGGAAGCAAGTAAACCAACTATATTTCCTACCATGACTGATATTTAAATTTGACTTTGAGCTTCCTGGCAGCCAAGGCAGAAAGGGAATTCAGATGGCTTGCATAGCCCAAACTATCAACAAGACAGGAAAATAGTTCCCTTGGATGGTGGTATGCCCGCTGACAGTGAATTCTGGGATGAACTTTCACCTCGGGCCTTATAAGAGGTGCATATTGGACAACCATCTTTGCTGGAGTTCCACAGAAAATGTCGAAGGCTGTTCATGGCTACTCGAATAAGCCTTGAACTCAGCTAAAGGCGCAACACACAAGCATAATAATAATGATCCTTCTTCTTACCATTTTTGTAGCCAGCGCTAGTTGGGAGCTTTGACGGTAGAAGTTCATTTGATCTTCACAACAACCCTGCGGGTAGATGCTGTTGTCATCAGGAGCCGAGGGCCTGAGGTAGTAAATGACTGTAGGAAGCAGCAGAAGCATGACTCAGACCCAGCCGTTCTGGCTTCCGAGCCCACGCTCCCGTCCCTCGGCTGCATTTCCTCAGGAAGGGACGGGACTGAGTCAGTGGCCCCCGGGTAAATGGCCTCCTGTGACCCAGTTTAGTGTGAGCTTCGAAGTCAGAGGGCAGATGGTAGAGGGGCTGCCGTGAGAGCACGGATGAGCTCCTGGTGCATGCCAGGGGGAGCCTCCCCACACACAATCTCTTCCATTCTAGGGACGTGGTAACCAAGGCCCAGAGAGGGGAAGAATCTACCCAAGGCCACACAGCTTGTTAGGCAGGAAGGCCCAGATTTCAATCTAAGTCTTCTGGTTCTTTCCGCTGCCCCTCCCTACCTATAGCTGAGACACTAGCTCAGGCCAGGCCTGGGTGGGTGAGGGCAGCTGCTGCATATACTCCGGGCCCCTAGAGTGAAGCGCCTGTGCTCTGCGGCTCTCTGCACTCCCCAGCGCCCGGGCTCCAGCCTGAGCTCTGAGTTCTGGACCTTCCACGTTGCCGGCTTCGCCAGTCATGCCCAGAAGGATGCTGCTGGTGGATTTACAGGCTGTACAGCCTTGAAGCACCCACAGCACCTCCCTGCTGGCTGCCTCGGCTCACAGTCCTCCAGATGCATGGGGGCGGCCACACAGCATGCCCATGGCAGAGCTGGGATTGGCCCACCAGTGCTTCCCACCCCGTGTTCATGGCAGCTCCCCCATGTCAGAGTGCCAGCAGAGTCACAGGCACACAGTAGGTGCTCAGAAAAGGTCTGTGTCTCTTCTTGTTTCGAGGGCCCATATTTGATGCTGGGCCCTGGTAACCATCTAGGAAGTCACTTCCCCGTTTTACTGATGGACAAGCAGAGGAGGCCCAGAGAGGCCAAGCAGGCTCCCTGAGGTCACACAGACAAAAGCCAAACCTCACCCAGCCCAAGGGGCCCCAGAGGAGACCTCGGCAGGGCCTGCTCAGTGCCCCCCTTCCTTCCGCTTCCTCATCTCTTCTCCCTGATTGCTCCTGGGGCGGCAGGAGTTGTTGCCAGGGTCCAGCAGCTCCTGGTAGCGGAAGGCCTAACCCAGCAATCCACAGCCCCGCTTGCTGGCCTGCCCGCGGCGCTGTGTGACCATCCGACAGGTCTCAGAAGGAAGTCAAAACGAAGGGGCTTTAGCGGGCAGAGTGCCCTCAAGGACTCAAAGGGCTCCTTGGTATTGAAGCAGCAAAGGCAGCAGCAGGGTTGGGAGTCAAGGGTACAGAGTGTGAACGCTGCTCAGCTACCACAGCCTTGGCTTCCAGAGCCAGTCCAGGGAGAGAAGCTCGTGAAAAGGAGAGGACCTAACAGGTGCCAGGCCCTTACTAGGCCTGGGGTCCTGCCCACACTGAGACTCAGAGAGGCCAAGTCACTTACCCAAGGTCACACAGCAGAGCCGGGGTTCAGAGTCAGTCTTTACAATTCCAGGCCCCCAAGGCTTTCCACGGTCCTGGGCTCTCTCTGAGTATCCTCAAGGCTGCAGTAACTGCTGTAAGCTGTAACCGGGGCACAGGGCGGGGGGCTGAGGGTGGTGGCCATCAACGAAACACACAACAGGGAAGGAACAGTCTTCCCATTTACAAAGCATGTGGCAGAGACAGAGAGCAACAAAAGTCCCGTAAAGCAAAGCACTGGGGCTCTGTATCTCAGGTCACTCCCCTGAAGCCCAAAAGAGCACATTTCCGTGGATTGGGTTTCTGTTCCGCAAGGCTCACCTGTGTTTCCCAGGCTCTGGTACTTCGGTATCATTCGTGATGGTGGAGGGGCACCCTCTTTGCCTCCCCCGGTCATCACAGCTGGACTCCAGCTGGACGCCTCCGTAGCTTGGGGCCCCAGGCTCCGTCCAAGTCTGTGAACTTGAATGTATTTATGCAGTCTGCACACCAGACGACGGAAAACAGCAGCTTTCACTCTGCATCGACTGTGTGCTCAGCGAAGTGAGTGCTTTACATAAAGGCTTTCCCTCTGTCCTCTCAGCCACCTGTGAGGGAGTGCCTGTCACCGCCCCCATTTTGCAGATGAGAAAACTGAGGCACAGGGGTTAAGTAGCCCAGTCATCGGCACCCAGCAGTGAAGTAGCACAACTGGGATTCAAGCTCAAGGCGGACCCAATGGCAGTCACCATTAGCATGATTATGATTACCATTAGCACTAAAGGCTGGTCCAGTTAAGCAGTTTAAAAATAATGGAAAAGTCTGAAATTCCTAAAGAAAAAGGAGTGACCTTGAGGACGTTGTGCAGTGATGTGGCAGTTTACCAGACCTCAAAGTGTGACTGGCTTGGTGAAAGCTGTGGAATTTTCTAGCGATACCTACTGCGGGGCCACAGGACTCTCTGCGGTCCCAAGCGGAGGCCCACCAGCCAGCCACGCCCTCCGCCCCTCCAGGAGCCGGAAGACAGTCCCTGGGACCGCTTGGCCTTCTACTCCTGTTACTTCTGACCCCCGGCTTCCCGGAGGCTCCCGCTGGGATCTCTCAAAACTGTTCTCTCTTCCTTGGGGCTGAACTGGACCTCCAGACAGTTATAGCCAAGGGTCTCTGGCAGCGTGAAGCCAGCACGCGGCAGAGGAGGCCACTGGGCTCAGGGACAGGAGGCAGGCCAGGTCCGGTGCCCGGGCCTGGATGCCAATCCCAGGTCTGCTGTGTGACCCCAGGTGAGTTGCCAGCCCTCTCTGAACCACTTCTCCTGGTCAGCTTGAGAATTAAAGCGAATGCTCGGCACGAGTGACTTGTGAATGGTCCAGTTCGCTTCCCTGCCACCTTGGGAGGGAAGCTCTCGGAGTTTTCCCAGGAACGATAGTCAGTTGCTACTCGGGGTCACGTTCCGTGGAGAGATCTGTGCACCACCTCCTGGTGGGAAAAAGGGCCTGGGCTAGTCCTGGCTGCCGCACCCACCTTGGCTGCCCCCTCACCTCTCGGGGCCTTAGTCTCCTCATCTGCAAATGGAGGTAACAACTCTCCGTCTCTGGGTCCTTATGGCCACACAGGAGGCAGGGTGCACGGAGGGGCTTGGAAAGACCAGGACCGAGTACCCGACGGGCGGGACCTGAGGCTTTTGTGTCAGAAGGTCTGCTCCTTCCTTTTCCTGTCCACACGGTGGGCCTGGCAGCCTCTGGCGGTGCGGGGCACCAGACTGGGAGGCTCAACAGTGCAAGAGTGTGTGGGACACACGGCCACTGAGGGACAGATGAGCAGCCCACAGCCTAGAGGGGGCGTCCTTGCTGCATAGTGGGGACTCACATCCCACCAGAGCCGCAAAACTGCGCTGGGCTCTCACCTTCCTCTCCTGGAAGCTGGGAGGGGGTCTCAGTACTGCCATCTTGCAGAGGACAGTGCAGCGCAGAGAGGACAGTGAAGCGACCCAGGGTCACGCAGCGGCAGAGGAAGAATTAGAACCATCTCGTTGGCGGCTGGGCTGGCACTGTGGTTCCTGCCTGTCCCCCACCCCACCCCCGCCCCCCAGCCTGCTGTCTGAAGATCTGCCTCACGGTTGCGGGAAGAATGGAAGGAAAGCGCATCAGCAAAGCTGCACCCTAGACCCTGATCAATACCAATCGCCTTCGTCCCGTTGCGTCCTCACTTTTTCTCTTTTCTCGTGAATCAGGCCCGTCCTGTGTGCTGGAGCCACCAGGGGCCTGACCGCACTGACGTGCGACCTCACGATAGGTCCCCCGGATAGAGTTTCCATCCCTGTTTACCGATCTGAAAATGCAGGTTCAAAGAGACGGAGTCGTTTGTCCAAGATCCCACCCCCAGAACCGAGGCAGGAAGCCAAAGGGCTCCCCACCCAGGCACACCGAATAAATTGGATCATGTTCATCCGATTCTCAGCGCTTTGTTTTGCTTTTTAATGTTTATTTATTTCTAGGAGACAGAGAGAGAGACAGCGTGAGCAGGGGAGGGTCAGAGAGAGAGGGAGTCACAGACTCTGAAACAGGCTCCAGGCTCCGAGCTGGCAGTCAGCACAGAGCCCGACGCGGGGCTCGAACCCACGAACCGTGAGATCATGACCTAAGCGAAAGTCGGACGCTTAACCGACTAAGCCACCCAGGCGCCCCTGATTCTCAGCGTTTTTTACTTGGCAGAGCTGGGATTTAAACCCAGGCCCGTGAGGCCCCTCCCGCCTGGCTGACCCCGCCCTGCCCGCTTCCTTCTGCCCTCTGCAGGATGTGCGACGGCCCAGGGAGGGGCAGAGGACGAAGGGGAGGCAGAGGCGGGCTGGATCGAGGGGGCGGCCATCCTCCTCTCTGTCATCTGCGTGGTCCTGGTCACGGCCTTCAATGACTGGAGCAAAGAGAAGCAGTTCCGAGGCCTGCAGAGCCGCATCGAGCAGGAGCAGAAGTTCACCGTGGTTCGGGCCGGCCAGGTGGTCCAGATCCCTGTGGCGGAGATTGTGGTTGGGGACATCGCCCAGGTCAAATATGGTAAGCGCCCCGGCCCCAGAGCCAGGTGCTAGAGCTAGAGTCCGGGCAGAGGTGGGACAGGACAGGCAGACCCAGGGAGGCTGGCCCGGGGCAGGGGTTGGTTCCTGAAGGCGAATCCCAAGGTAGGATGTCTTCTGAGATCCTTTGGGAGGTAGAAGGCTCCTTCCTGGAGGAGGTAGGATTCCAGAATCCATCTGAAGTCAGAAATGGGAGATATGTGGCCTGTGTGCTACCACTCTCAAGACCTCCACCTGTAGCAGACATTACTAATCAATCACAGCTCAAAGCCTAGATAGCAGACATTACCAATCAATCACAGCTCAAAGCCTAGATAGCAGACATTACTAATCAATCACAGCTCAAAGCCTAGATAGCAGACATTACCAATCAATCACAGCTCAAAGCCTAGATAGCAGACATTACCAATCAATCACAGCTCAAAGCCTAGATAGCAGACATTACCAATCAATCACAGCTCAAAGCCTAGATAGCAGACATTACTAATCAATCACAGCTCAAAGCCTAGATAGCAGACATTACCAATCAATCACAGCTCAAAGCCTAGATGCAGAAGCCATCTCAATACTCCAAGAACACTGACACTCAGAATGGGTTTATGAGATGAAATCCGTTGCCCGTCTCTAACTGGGCTGTTGATGCATGGTTGTTGGGCTGGAGAGGGTGCTGTAGGGAGTGGGCCTGTGGGCAGACATTCTCGGCCTGTGATGGTGCCATGGAGAAAGTGGTCGGGCTGGCTGGCACCACAGGGAGTATAGGTGAGATATGTCGTGGGTAAGTAGAGGTAGAATATAGGGAAGAGATTGGAGTGCCTTCTTCAGTCCGCTTTAGGGGCTTGGTTTCCTCTGATAATGCGCCTGTCTCAGGGTCTCCTCAGCCTAGCCAAGATAGACAAGTCCCTTCTGGAAGAACTTCCCAAACCATCACTGAGACCAGAAAATGAATCACTGAGAAAACACGGCCCCAAATCCACACGAGGCCAAGAGGAGCACTTTAGAAGCAGAAGTACAAGTCCGCTGGAGCTAGATTGTTCTGGGCCCAGCCCCACTCTCCAGGCCATGTCGCATTCACCGCGGCTCCAGTCGTCAGCTGCCTCTTGGCCTGTGATGGGTTCCAACACCCTGGGAGCTCTAGGCAGCTGGTCCCCAGGAGTGAACTTGAGCTTGCAATCACACCTTTAAAGGAATGTTCCAAGACCCTCGAGACCCTGCTGATTTGATTGCCCTTCCTGCCACCAGGTGACCTCCTCCCTGCTGACGGCCTCTTCATCCAGGGCAATGACCTCAAAATCGACGAAAGCTCCCTGACGGGGGAGTCTGACCAGGTGCGCAAGTCCGTGGACAAGGACCCCATGCTGCTGTCAGGTGAGATGTGGCCCAACGGTGGGCTCACTCCCGTTGCCAGGTCCTGGCTCCATGCTGCGGGGGACACCCATGTCCCCTTCGTGAGGCTGGAAGTTCTCAGTGACTTTGTTCCTTGGGTCCAGATCTCCAGCCAGCTCAGCCCCAAATGTCCCCTCCCTCCCTTTCCCCAAACACGCATACTTTGAGGCTGCTGTGCACTCAGGACTGGTCCAGGCCCTGGGGACAGTGCAGGAAATAAAATGGACAAAGAGTCCCTGTCTTCATAGAACGTACTTTCTAGAGACTTGGTGTCCTGAAAAGTCAAACACCAGAGGCTGTTCCTTTGAGGGATAGGGAAGGATCAGTCGGGTGACGATTATTTCGGACACCTGCCCTGTGCCAGGCACTGGGCTGGGTACTGGGGGTACAGCAATGACTGAGGCTGATGAGGTCCCTGCCCTGAGAGGCTTGCGGTGTAGTAAGAAGGCCCGGATGTTGTGAAAACTCCAGAAGGCGGTAGGTCTGTGCTGAGAGTAAAGCAGAGTGACGGAAGGCGGGCGGCTTCGGAAGGGCGGGGGCCACGTTGAGTTGAGATGTGAATGCTGAGGGACAGCTGGCCTGGTGACTGTTTGGGGGAAAGTATACGAGGCGAGGGAACAACGAGTGCAAAGGTCCTGACCTAAGGAGGAGATTGAGCCAAATGGCCAGGGTGCCGGGCCTCGACGCCGTGGTCAGGAGTTAGTTTGGAAATTTTCTAAGTGTGATGAAGATCCTCTGAAATAGTCTTAAGCAGTGAACTAGTTACATTCACATTTGTAAAATCTCACTCTGGCTGCTGCAGGGGGAAGAGGGGAGGTAGAAGGACCTTGCAGAGGTGAGGCACTGCCGGATGAGACCCTCCCTTAATGGGAACAAAGGGCCTCATTGCCTGGCGCTGCTCAGGAAACATCCTCTGAGCAGCTGCTCTGCTGCCCAGGCCCTGGGCTGAGCACTGGGCCGCCCCCGTGGTGAGTCAGAGCCTCCCCCTGACCGTGAGAGCCCCCAGCCTGTGGGAGGCAGTGGGGGCGGGGGGGGGGGGGGACAGACTCCAAACAGCTCATTCCACAGTAGAGGAGCGAGAAGATGCGAGAAAGCCAAGAAAGGAACAGAAGCACCCAAAGTGGAATTGAGCTGGGTTTCAAGGCGTGAGTAGGAGCTCGCCACGCAGACCTGTAGAAGCAAATGTGTGCAAAGGCACAGAGGTCCAAAGGAATACGGGGTGTCCTGGAAAAACATAGAGGAACATCAACAGTCTGCAGGGGAGGATGGTAGAAAGGAGTGAGAATTGGGGGCGCCTGGGGGGGCTCAGTCGGATAAGCGTCCGACGTCAGCTCAGGTCATGATCTCGAAGTTCGTGGGTTTGAGCCCCGCGTCGGGCTCTGTGCTCGGAGCCTGGAGCCTGCTTCAGATTCTGTGTCTCCCTCTCTCTCTGCCCCTTCCCCGCTCATGCTGTGTCTCTCTCTGTCTCAAAAATAAATAAACTATAAAAAAAAAATAGAAAGGAGTGAGAATTGGAGCTGGGGCATTTATTTATCCAGAACTTATGTAACCAACGTGTATTAGGTAGCTACTAGGTCCCAGTGGTTGGTGGGACAAATAGGGTCCCTACCTTCCTGGAGCTTAGAATTTGGTAAAAAGAAACAGACCGTAAAGGAACAAGCAAACAAATGTGTAAGGTAATTTCAAATATTCAGATGACATGACACCATCGTAATGAAATAGAGACTCTGAGGAAAGGGACAGAAATCTTACTGGTCCGGGAAGGCCTGTCTGAGGAGCCTTCCTGCGAGCTGAAACCAGCACAATGAGAAGAAAGAGCACTCCAGGGAGAGGGGCAGCAGGTGCAAAGGCCCTGGGGACTAAGAGATCATAGAAAGCCTTGAATGCCTTCTTGGAACTTGGGGCCACATGAGGGGCTCGGTAAATGGTCACGGCCCTGGGAGCGAGTGGTTCTGCCTTCTGAGTTGACGTGGTTGATGGAGAGGCAATCCTCTTCGGGAGAAGCGGCCTGGTGGGTCATGTGGATCAGCGGAAGTCAGGTGGAGGCACTGGGCCTGAATGGATGGGTGATGAAGGTTCCAGACGGTTTGGAGAAGGGAGCGGAGGCTAAGGAGAGAACGTGTTCAGAATCACTGACTCGACGCGTCACAGACCAGGCAGGGAGATGGACACCGGTGCGGGGAGTCGACACAAGTCAAGTTAGCCAGCCCAAGTCGACCCAGCTGTTTTGGCCTTTACCTGTACACCCGGCTGGAAGCCCAGGTAAGCAGTGTAGACCCTGGGCCTCCGGATGGCACAAGACAGCAGCCAAGGTCTCCTGGGATGCCCCTGTGGGCACGACAGAGCAGGATGGTGGGTTTGTGCTGACTCGTGGGTTGCTGGTAATCCCGTGGAGGTTTCTGGAGGCCTTCTCCGGAGCTCTGTCCTGCGTCGCATGGACATGGGCCCCTCAGCTTTGCAGTGACCATGATTGCAGGGAGGAGGGCAGAAAGGAAGCAAGTCAGGACCCACCGAGGTCGCCAGAGCGCAGACTGAGCTAGACCGAAGAAAATGACCCTTGACCGTGAGCTGCGGTGCTGAGGTTCACGTGCATGGGGCTGGGAGGGGCAGGTGGCTTTGCCCCGGCTCACGGGGAATGGGGGGGTGGTGAGAAGGGGGTGTAGACAGCCCTACGGAAAGCAGTCTAACTGGACAGAGAATTCGGTGGCAGAGCCATGCCGGGACAAAAGAGGCTGCCTGGCAGGTAGTGAGTTCCCGGTCACTGATTGTGTGTGAGCACGGCCTGGACGGGCTGTGGGGTGTTGGGGGTGTTGTAGAGTTGACCCAAGCACTGAATGGGCATGGCATTCAATGCCCTCCCAGGCATGAGAGTCACAGATTACGACACCCATCCTCACACTGTACCTCTGCTGCAGATGTGCCTTGCTTTGTTCCCTCTGCCCCACCCCTGCTGAGGCTGCTCCCCGCTCCTAGATGGCCCTCTCCCTTCCTTATTACCCATTTAACTCCTGTTCATCTGCTCAGGCTCCACCTCCTCCCAGGAGCCTCCTCTGCTCACCACTGTCCGTGGGCAGTGACCCCCATACAGCATGGCACTCACACACATTTCAGCCCGTGACACTCGCACTGTGCTCGGCCCATTCAAGCACAGCCCCGTCATGATGACTGAGTCTCTCACTGTGCAAACCATCTCACATAAGGTAAAGAGTAAAATCCTTGCAGTCCTAACTCCCAAAGAGACCTAATGATATCCCTTGGATGGGTCCCCTCCGTCCTTGGCCGGATGCAGATAAACACACACCGTCACCATTGTGATGCCCTTGTATGTGGATCCTCTGTCCCAGAGGGGCCAGCAGTCAGGAGCCCTGAGCTGAGGCTACCAGGAGGTCATGCCCAGCCCCATCCCAGGGTCCACACGGCGTAGGGGCTCAAGCACTGTCCGCCAGAGAGAGGAAGGAGGCTGGGGCTATTGTGGAAAAAGCAGGGCAGGGCTGGACTGAGCCAGATTTGGGCTTTGGAATGAACTCAGTGTGTGGCCTGGGCCATGTCGCTCCACTTCTCTCGATCCATGAGGACAGTAGGGACGTCCCGGTGTGTGATGTTGGCGAAGCCCTCACCCGGCCCCGTGCGTGTGTCCGTGCCCACACCAGGCTGGGTCCCCTCCTGCTCCTTGGATGGAACCACAACTTGGGAGTGAAACAGGTCTGGGTTCAATTCCCTACTGCTCTCATTTGCTGGGGGACCCTGGGCAGGCTTCTCACCCTCTTGAACCTCCACTTCCTCGCTTATGAAATGGGTTGACCCCGGCTGACAAGGTCGTGTCACAGTGTCCATTTCCCCTGCTCTTCCCCCTCTCTGAGCTCCTCCCCACCTTCAACCTGCTTGTGCCTGCCTCCTCCAGGGGGTTGTCCCTGATTATTCTGAACGCTGGAGAAATGCCATTTGGATGCTCCTTTTGGCGCATGGACAGACACCTCGGACACTTGCCCTGTGCTGGGGGCCTTGTCGGGTCTTCCAGTCGAATGGCCCCCGGGGAGGACAGAGGGACCTGGCTGTGGGCACCTGCAGGGTCCTCAGGGCAGCCCAGAAACCCCCTCGTGGCAGCTGGCACTGAGGTTCAACCTAGAGGAAGGCAAGGGGCGCGCTGACGCTGGGTCAGTTGGCCTGGCTGCGCCCAGCCTGTGACGCGGGACAGGTCTGTCCGCCTCCCTGAACCCAGTGTTGGCGTCTGTGCGGCAGGACAGTCGGTGGAGGCCCCCCCCCGCCCCCGCCTACCCCACAGGGCTGTTGTGGGGACCACACGCGTGGATGGATGTGACTCTCCTTGGCAAACGGTACAGCGTGAGGCGCTGTGCGATGTGCAACCAGCACAGGGCTTGGAGGCAGGACACCCAGGTCCCAGACCTCGGTCAGCTCCGGCTATGACCTCTGCCCCTCGGGTCCTCAGTCTCCCCATCTGACAAATGGGGACAGCCTGGCCTTCAGAAAGACTCAGGGGTCCCAGTGCTCAGGGCTCAGAGAAGATCCAGTAAAGGCCTGGAGCTCGTCCCCCAAGATGGACAGGCAGACACAGGCCCGTGACTGAGGTATCTTCAGGCCAGGATCACAGGCACCCAGCCCGCGGGCCCGGGGAAGGGAGAGCGTGACTGCTTCTCCCTGCTGCCTGCAGGAGCAGCCCCGCCCCAGGGTGGCCGCAGCGTCCTCCGTACGAGGGGACCCGGAAATCCAGTTTTCATGAGCAACCTCCCAGTGTTTGACTTGGCAAGAAAGTCCCATTTTTTAAAAGCCTGTGCGTGTGATCAAGCAACACGTGGGTGAGCCCCGGAGTGTGAACTCTGACCTGGGCCTTGCTTTGTCTCGGTTTGTTTTGCACTTGAAGATAATTTCCAGCTTTTAGAGAAGTGGCAATACCAGCACGAAGACCACCTGACTGCCCTTCCTTCGGAGTCACATGTGGTTACCCCTGTGCCCCGTTTGTTCCC